AATTTTTACCAAACAATCACGCTCGTTATAAAGCAGACGATTTCCTAAAGAGAAAAGGAAGGGTAGATCGCGGCATATTTACGATCCAAATCTTCGATATTACTACCTCGTTAGAGCTGGGTCAGTTTTGCTCTGGGCGTGATCGCTTCATCGATTAAAATCTATTTAAGCGTATGCTTACGTGAATAACATCCGCCCGGGGTAGAAAGATATGAAATCGATAATATCCGCAGAGAGTAAGTGCGGGGCGCCGCCGATTGCCACCGTTCCGGCAACGCGTCCTCCCGCAGTCACCTGTTATCGTAATAAATTCGTCCGGACGATAAGCTATTTCTAATACCAACGATCGCGCGCACCCCGCACCCTTAATCGCATCTCTGATCCCTTAAAGACATATCGCGTTACACGCGGCCGCGGCGGTGGCGGCGGCGGGTGCCGTAACAAGGTCGTGCGCGTCCGTTGCCACGCAGGCGCGCCTTATCGAAGGTGGAAATTATGACTTGGTGGACGTTTTTCCTTTCCGTGAGCGCGCCCGTGAGCTCTCGCGAGAAACAGGTATATCGAGCATGTAATAGAAGCGACCGCGGCGGGGGTATCCGGTCAAGCGGCTGCGGCGCGTTTCGCAGCTGGGTGCCCCGCGGCGAAGCGCGACAGCGCAGCGCAGCGCGATTCGCTCTTCGCAACTGCTCTCGTCGCATCGTCACTGCCGTCGCTGCCGCAGCTGCAGCTGCAGCCTCAGCCTCAGCCTCAGCCTCCGCCGCCGCCGCCGCCGCCGCTACCGATCTTATTGATCTATGGTAGAACCATTAACCATCAGAGCGTGCACCGAATGTTTCGGAACTAATTTAAACTTAGCCGCTTCTCCGCCCGCGGCATACACGACGTCGAATTAAAGACTCTGCTCTATCGCTATCGTGTGTGTATATTGATATGTGCGAGCCTCCGCCGCGCCGATTAAAACGACCGCGACATGTTGTGATTCCGTTTGCGGCATCTGCCCCCCTCCCGTCCCCTCCCCTCGGCTGTTTGCTCGGATATTGATATATTTCAAGGCGCGCATCTGCTTATCTTCCCGCAACTCTCTCGAGACGACGTGTTGGTCTTGAAATAATTCCGTAGATTGCAAGTAATTAATTAAATTGAATTATACACATTGAAATTAATACCGCGTGTGAATGAAGAATAGGAGACATTCACGGAAAATAGATTGTTCGTCGATATCGTGAATTCGGAGGTCCCTCTTAATCGGAATGGGAAGATCATTCTTTATCGCGGTCTTTCAATTCTCGCTATTCGATGCTTTTTTTATTTAGTACATCAGTTTGGATCTAGTACATCAGTTTTCGTGGGGAAAAAAGAAGCATTTTGTAACATCGCGCTAAATGAATGATATAGAAGCTGACACGTTGTTTAGTAAGATTGATCTCGATGGGTTTTGCATCGCGGTCATACGAGATGAAGCTTGAAAATGTCGAGTTTTCTTGATCCCCTTTACACTCGAATTAAATGATGAAAACGTTAATTAAACGGGTTTTCCGATAGTTAATCATAACCTCGCCACCGGCAACGAACACTCACACTATGTTCTGCACTAATTAACTTTCGGATGCATACATCTAATTTTTTTTCCTGCACTTTCGATTAATTTTTTTTCCTGCTAGCGGATAATTTTCCGACCGACCTTAATCTACCATTTTGCGCGGTGTATTTTAAAAAAAAACCTAGAGGGAGGGAGACAGAAAGAATTGTTTTGCTTTTATTCCAACTGCCCCCAGCTCTTCATTGAGAAGCCTAGGGCTAGAAAATGTGGCGGCCCCCAAATACAACAACATTTGCGATATGAGCTGTAGAGCCCGGCGTACTAAACCGGCAATAATTTTATGGAAATCAAGCGTTGCTACCACGGTACGTGCCATACAGACGATGGGGCGCGCTTATACGGAGAAGAATGAACGAGGACCAAGGCATCGTGCAACGGCATATAGTTACAAGTATATTATGGTTTCTCGGCTTAAACTGGATTTCAAACGCGCGCGAGCGTTATCGTCCCAACACACTGTGATTGTTGGACAAGTCCGCGTATATACGCACCGGGGAGGCACATACGGCGTTCAGCTTAGGGATATAGTGCCACCTGTACCTAATCCTACTTTTGACTGACGCGTCGTCATCAAGTTTCGCGAGGGATCCTTGTAAGGGGAACTTTTCGCGTAACTCGGTAATTTTCTTGAAAAAAAAATGCTTAATTATTCTCGGATAGTCGCGCGTGGAAATACATAAATCGTATTGTAGTGTATTCGCACGTCACACAAGTGTTATATTAAAATTATATTCAAAAGTAACTCGCGCGAAAAGAATATCTCGAGGGGTAGCGACAGATTTGACGTGAAAATAATTTTTACGGCAGATAACGAAAATATTCGAGCGGAGTAGCTTATCGCTGACAACTTTATTAGCCAAATAAACGTAATGCGATATCTTTTTTTCCCCCGGACTAGGAATATTGCCGAACAATGTAATATTTTTTAACATATTGTGAATGTAGGAAATGGAATATCTGTGTGGAACGATACGATATCGTGGGATCACTCTATCCTCGGCGAGCCCGGCGACTAATCCTGCACCCGGCAAATACCGTAACCGAAAAACGAATAGAAATAAAAAAATAAACGCCGCGTTCCCATATACCGTTCGCGTTCCAATATGCCGGCGCGCACGAGCAGGACAGCTTCGCGAAACACGTTACAAATTTTGATTGAATAAACGTTGGATCGTTTCGCTTTCGGCGCGCTGATTTTTGTGGAATTAAATGACGAATGCAGCGAGCGCGCGGAAAGATACGCGCGCGTCGAAAGACAATCTATGTGTCGAGGGAGATACAACGGATGAAATAAACCAGTTCACTGCTCCGCCTCGCGCGCCATTACGCGAAAAAGCTCCGTTTTATCGCGGTGCGCGCGATTAGATACATACATTAGATCATTCCGTTATGACACCAGCGGAATTGGAACAAGTTTACGGGTTCTCGTCACAGTTCGATTTTTGTTGCGTTTTGCACGTGCCGTTTTTCTTTTATTCATCCGCTCACTCGCTCATCTGCCCGCTACGTCACCACTAGGAGGTCAAACGTGGTAACGACCTCCGATTATTCGCGACTACATTTGACGACCCGCTTTTCTCACGTAAATCTTAAAATAAGAATTGTTTTTCGTCTTGTATAAAGTTGGAAGTTTTCGCTTGCACAGTCCGACGTATAAATTACCTCCGTCATGCCGAAAAATTGACCGTCGTGCATTTCTGCCATTAATTTTTTCACCGTCCATCTCTGTCATTGTTATTACCGCGATTTGCTGTCCGCGGTAAGAATATTTCATTCGGGTGCGCTTTGTTATTTGCATTTGTGTCTCTCGAGTTTATTCGCGAGCAACGCTAACATCATCAGCGTTCTCGCTGCCGAGTCCAGAGACGTGAACCGTGAAGGTCTTTATTTGAACATCACCCTTTCATTTGCCGACACAATTTACTGATTGGACGAAATTCTCTATGCCCTCTCGTTGCCTTTGCCATTACAATTTTGAATTAATTTGCCCGCGACTATGTAGGCCGCTACATATTAAAAATTCTGCAATAAAGAACGTCGTCTCGAACAGTCCAGGTTGCGTCTCTATGCGACTATTTCGTGTACTATGGAAACGTTTACACGTGTAAAATACTCCTATACCAGCAAGTGTTACGAGTGTTGGGCGGCATTTTTTAGTAACTCGTTAGGAAACTAATTTAACTTCGTAGTAGCTTTTAATGCGAACTGCATCGGCTTTATGCGACGTAGTCGACACAAGAGTAGCGCGAGGTCCATCTTTGTTTTAAAGCGTGCTAACAAAGAGAGAACCTCTTCCGGAAGTGCTATATACCGAGTGAAGCGGAAATGATGGTACAACTGAAAAGGAGGTCATTCCTCGTACAAAAAGAAGCTCGAAAGTAAATACATTTTTTTTTGGAGCCCTGTTGACAGCGGCTGTCAAAGTATAAATAAAAATATATAATGTTTTGTTAAAAAGTGAAGCTTTTGTGATGTTTTTCTATTATATATACATCTAAATTTTTACAATATTTCCAATTATTTTGTACCTCACTCGATAAAAAGTTAATAGCAACTCACATTTTTGACAATATTTTTACACGATATATGAAGAGAGATTATCCAACTTTAAAATAAAAAAGATTCTAATATTCAGAACAGAATTTTTCAGCAAACTCGCAATCAGTTACATAAAAATATACTTCTGTACACTTTTGACCTTTTTTTGTCGTGCTACGATTTCCATCTGAGATACATATGTGCCTCATTATTTACTTGATATTGCGTTTACGAGTTTGCCGTGTCCAAGTTTCGCCTCTCTTCGCGCATTATACGCGAGTGTCGCCGCGTCCGCAAATATATAGATCTCTAAGCGACGTGAAATATTTTTTCATGACGCGCAAGTCCTACGGGCACACGGGCGAATGTGCGTACACTTTTTCGACACGGCAGAAAATCAATACCTTGCGGCCGGAAATTGAATTTGAACGAGTAAACAGGCCAGCGGCGTATTATAGTGTATGTTGATATACTGTATAGATTTTTAAATAATCCTTTGCTGATAAAAAAAAAGTAGTTTTATCAGTAGGGAATTTAAGCGCGGTTAAGTCCGCGCTCGAGAGAGCGTGTGTATCGCAAAATATTAATATGATCCGCAATTAGCGCTTGAAATGTTATTTCACGAGTTTCGACGGTAAAAAAATAGTTGAAATTAATTATCTGACGAACGGATCTTCCAATCTATTTCCATGACGAAAATTACACGGACCTTTCTAAAGAGTCTAGGACAGGATGCTTTCGATTACAGTCGCATTGTATTTTGCATAATTGTATCTGCGAGCACGTTGCGCGCGGTCGACGAAGTAATCCATTTGAGCGTGAAAATAAAGTTTCCGGAATTATCTTATCCGCTCGTACTTACCTTCTTCGTCGCTACCGATCATGGCGTATCGCTCGTATCCGGTGAGATTCCTGACCGCTCCCAGACCAAAGTCGTCCTTGGTCCATTGAATGGGCCCCTTCTGATCGAGGACTCGGCATGGAAGCGTCACGCGGCTGCCAATCACCGCGGTTTGATCCATCGGCTCGATGGCGAATCGCTGATAAACTACTTCCGTCGTTGTAAACGGCTTCAGCGTCGACGCTACCACGGACGACGCGTTTGTCACGTTCGTAGCCGCCACTGTCTTCGCCTCCATTGTCATCAGCAGCGAGAGGCAAATTATTAACGGGACCGTTCTTCGCCCGACTCTTCTGCTCGCGTTCCTGCGCAATGAAAAAGATTGGCTAGGTCAATCGTGTGTATTAAGAATTGCGATTACGCGATAGCAAATTTTATCGAGCGTGCGACTCGTTGAGAAAAGAACCTGTAAAAGTCTCGTTCTTTACGCATACACGTGAAATTATTCATCTAATCGTAAGTCTATTCGACCGCCTAAAAAGCCGTCGCTTCCATCGCGTGGATTTCTCCGTTCCGTGCCATCTCCCTCCGTCATGCCATTTAATAAGCATGTGGGGCTGTCGTTCCTTACTCGTACACTTCGTCGTCTTATCTAATTTATTTTTATAGTCCCATCGGATTCAAAAACGGAGTTAGAAGGCAACCGAGGGAACCGGCGCCGTAAAAGAGGCGATAAAAGTATTGCCGGGTGCCGGCAATTTAGTATTGGAAGCAAGGGCGCTCTACTCATACACGTATACATACATGCGTATGTAGCTAAGAGCACATATGGAATCGCCATTATGAGGGAAGCTTTTTTACGACGGTAATATAGTTTTGTCGTGAAAATATACTACGTCTTAACAATTATCGCGCGGAACATTTTACGGAATATTAAAGCGATATCGCATCGGGATAAAAAAAGGAAAAGAAAAAGCGACAGTGATCTTCATTCAGGACTAAATAATTCAGAGATAGCTTATAGCCGTCAACTATCGTTCCTTTCCATTAGGAACGTTTCTTAAGAATCGATCGCGTTTGCCCCTTTCTAACAAAATTCCTTTCATTCCGAGCCTCTCATTTGGTGGCAGCATAAAAGATCAAGAATGCTGATTGGCCGTTTTACCTGAGCACTGGTGTCCGAGTCTCAATGGTATTTTTTAATTCGAGGCTTGCGCAATCTATAGACTCGATTCCATTTTTTTATAGTCGGTGAATTTAAATCCAATAAAATTGTTTTGTAATTTGAACGAAGATAAAATACGGCGTCGAGGAGAGCGCTCGTATCTCAGATACGAGCGCTTCCAACAGATTCAATATTCAATTGTTGACTTTGAGCGTCGAAAGCTGAGCGTTCATTAACGTAACTATTGGCCTTTATTATCATTTGGCAAAACAAACGGAGAGCGCAGCGAGTTCGCCGAACCGGATCTCTCAATCGTCTCGTCGACCGCTAATTAATTTTCGTCGTGTCGTTTGTATTCGTATCGGCTATCGTCCGTCATCTAATAACGGGAACAAGATGGTGCTCGGTCTCTACTCCCCCTCGCTCTGTAGATCTCGCGTCTGTGTGCGAGCCGCTGCTCCGTCATCTATCTACGTTTCCTTCGGTGCGCCGTTCTTATTCGTCGTCGGTGAAATGATCGATAGAACTGAAAATCGCTCGAGGAGAGATTCTTGAGAACGATGTATCGTTCTCGTATGTCTTGTCGGGACTCGCGCGCGGTCTTCGCACAGACGTGGCGCCTCGACGTCGCCCCGTGTTATCGTCGAAGCCGTTCGTTATACCGAAGTTGCGTCCTACTCTCTCTCCCTCCCCCCTCTCTCTCTCGCTCAAGAGAGCTCTCTCTCTCTCTCTCTCTCTCTCTCGCTCTTGCGGTGATCCTCGGAGAGGCCAAGTTCTCTACGAGTTAAGCGTTTCTTGTTACATCGTGTTCCGTTGGTTAGCAGATAGAGGAGATGTCGTAAGACGGCGGCTCATACGACATCGCACGCGGGGGCTGCTTCTTACGAGCTCAATAGGATAATAACCCCCGCGGCAGTCGCTGCCGCCGCATGTCCGCCCGAATGCTTTGAATGGAGTACGCGAGTAACGAGCGTAATAATAATTGCGCTTGTGCCTCGTATTTGGGCGACCCTCGCCGCCGACGACGACGACGTGCCGTTAATCGTGCGGCGCGTTACGAGGCTTCGTTCGAACAATCTCTCCTCGTTCGGTCCCACAAAGCCGCGCTTCTTTTCACCCGGGTAAGCCATTCTTCCGTCTTTGACAAACGCGAGCGATATCGCACGATTATTATTTGCCTTTGAAATGTCACGCATCTAAAGATACCTGGGCGAACGATATCGCGTAATCGACGTTTCCATTGTGTACATCGTCGGGTTATCTCGACATCGCTCCAATGGATTTCCGTTTATTCTCCACATAATAATTTGCAAGGGGAGTAAAAATATATTCCGTATCGAATGCAATTTACTCATTTACTTGGAAAACATTTATCATATTCCGTGACGTCTATGACAAGGCACGCCAGCAGCTTACGAAACAGAATTGGGTCATGTCGGAATTGGATGGGATACGTCCCAGGCGATTTTACTACCAGTGATTTTACATGTAAACGTGTATCACGGAAATATCGCACGCGCGCGTTACGTCCAACGGCTTCTATCACGCCCATTGGCTTTTTATCATTCGCAAGAGTGTATCGGAAATTTCGAGTCGCCTCGGACGGGCGGGCGTGCAACGCGCGCGTAGGCGTATTCGTAGATTATGCCGCCGGTCCCGATAAAATAGAACACGCTGATAGGAGCGTAAAACAATCAATCGCGATGTCGTCCCGGCAATTACTAGCGAATGTCGCGATAATCACTAGCGTGTAGGCGAGCGGGCGTGGGCGTTTAAATTTAAATAAAGTCACTAATCGAGACGGAGCGTCGAATCGGCTCGCCTGTCGGACGTCGCGTTGCGTTCGTCGGCTAGAAATTTTCGCGCCCGAGAACACGCTTCTCTCTCTCTCTCTTTTGCTCCCGTTGTTCCCCTGTAAATACATTTCGGCCGGCGCGTCGCGTCGCGTCGAATCGAATCGATCGGTACCTCGATTTTGACCTTCGAAATCAATTTTTCACGTTGCCACGCATTATTCGATACCCTGTTTGGCGATATTCAATTTTTCCCCAATGACAGCAATCCCCGTATTTACGCGGGGGCTGCACGTTTCAAAAGTTTTGCATAAAAATAAACGTAGCAGTAACACGGTTGCACTGATAAAGAATATACGCCAACAGATAGAGTGCACGAGTCAATAGCGATATATTTATTCATATTCCGCAATTGACATTTATATAAGTGTGTAATATATATTTAGCCGGCGATTTCTGGTCGCGTGGTCCAGAATTATACTCGCTGAATTCATTCGGAGTCTCAGAAATGCAAGGAACGTTAATCGATAAAACAGATACCTAAAAGTACCTTCAATATTTTTACGATTGCGGCGCTAAAACGTAAATTGAATTCGCGTTTATTTCGAAAATAAAATCGGGCGCGTGTTTTAAATGCCATCTGCAGCTCGCACGTGAACAGCAAATATTTATCGCAAATACCCATTTCCCGGTAGGCTTATCGCGTTTCATATAATGGCATCAGTGCCGCATCTCTCAAATTTACCCAGCGCAGCCTAGACGTGGATCTAGCAGATCTCACACCTAGCGGTGGTATAATCCGCCGCGCCGTACATGTACCTCGGAAGGCTCCTCCTCGTTCGAGCGTGGAAGACTCATGCCGAAGCTCAACGGCGCAACGTCACCGATCAATTTGTCATGGGATGACCCAGTATCAAAGATACGAGTCCCTCGGGTCAGTGTAACGTGTTTCTGGGAACGTTGATACATGCACACGGGTACACGCGGCCGACGCGACGCTGCGCTGCGCGACGCGGCGCGACGCGACGCGACGTGCGCACATGTGCAAACACACGATGCGGCATACGCTCGCGATATATGTATACGTGTACGCGCCTCGTATACGTCTCTCTGTGCCCTGTGCGTGTTGTGTGCGCGCTTGTTCGCCGGTCGCACGACTATCTAAATATAACCCTACAACCGTGTACACACGTATATGGGATGTATTCAATGGTTATCGCGATTTTCGATACTCCCCCGGCAAAGTCGGGAAAATATTTCGTCACGCCGCTGCAGCTGACACTGCGCCGGATAAGAGTGATGAGGGTGCCGTAGAATCAAGAATGCAGGAATCAATTTTCCGCATCCGCTCCGTTTATCCGCGCTATATCTCAAGAGCGTCTCGCATCTCTGTCCCTTTTTTCTCTTGTTCCGAACAATTCGGTTTGTTAATAAACTTTAGAGTAAAGAAAACTGCGTTTTTTCTGCGTCGAATACCCGAATGACGCTGCCGCACGTTGACTTGGCATCGATGAATAGTTTCTCGACACGTTTTTCAATGTGTGTCGAGCTCCTCTCTCCAATATTAGGTACTTCGATAGTAACGGTGTTTAATTTGCGAATGTTGAAAGAAGCAAGTATACGTTCTTTTTTTTTTCGAAAAGATGAGAATCCGCGACCAAGTTGATCGGAATGAAAGAGAATTCTATACGAGCTCGCCTCATACATAATTTAAATTTGGAAAGCTGACAATTTGATGTACCTACGCAACATCGAAACGATGGCCGCTATTGAATAGCTATTTTATTTTATACGATTGCTATTTTACGATGTTCCTACATTTTGAACATCATGCGATGGATTTGTAGAGTAGAATCGGATTTCGACCGCAGTATGTTTTATTATGTATGGAATGTGACCTGACATGGTGGGGCATTTTACGTGGCATATAAATTCTTCGGCGCATTGGGGTTCAATGTTGTCCCGACAAAAATTTGACTGATGATCTCATTATCTATCGCGGACCTTTCTATTTGGCCCTTTTTATCGTGCACGCGCGAAATGAATTTGGAATTTTTGAGATTTTGTCCAAGTCCTTTTCATGCAGATTGGACAATTTAATAACTCAACACATGGAATTTGATAAATTAGTTAGCTCGATTATCGCTCCGCTAACTTAATATTAATATTCTAGTTTGGTTTAAGGAGCACCGAGGTAAAAAAGGGGGCATATTACGTCGGGAGGGGCGAGAAAGATCGGGTAATTTTCGAGCTCTCCGCAATTCTGTTGGGACGATCTGTATATTTTAACGCGGATAGTGCAACCTTCGCGCTTGTGCAGCGCGCAGGTCATATGGATAGATGCAACCTAATTTTTGATTGGCTCTAGGGATGGAGTGGAGGAGAGGCTTAACCTTCGATCCACGGA